ATCTATAATTTACTTAATTTTTTTTATTGCCTATGTGTATCTGTATATTGCCCATCCATATGAAATGCATATCGACTTATATCTCCAACCAACCTGTGTATTTCTAATATATCTTACAGATCTGTTACGCCAACTACATATGTATTTCCAGTCTCCCACCCAGTGTTTCTTCTAGACTTTTTTCTCCGGGGGGGGGGGGGGGGGGGCGGACGGTAGACTTTCTTCGGGGGGGGGGGGGGGCCGGACACTGTTAAAAGTATATATTTTCTATATAAATTATATAAATTTCATTTCATTCGGGGGGCGGTAGAATTATTTCGGGGGGGGGGGCGAAGAGATGCCTGGAAGAAACTCTGCTCTCTCGCCATATGTTGCCATTGCTTCTCTATTTCATATCCAAGAACAGAAACTACTTTTCTATTTCCCACCCCTAACATGCCCCAACTTTTCTATTTCCCACCCCTAACATGCCCCAACTTTTCTATTTCCCACCCCAAACATGTCCCAACTTTTCTATTTCCCACCCCTAACATGTCCCAACTTTTCTATTTCCCACCCCTAACATGCCCCAACTTTTCTATTTCCCACCCCAAACATGTCCCAACTTTTCTATTTCCCACCCCAAACATGTCCCAACTTTTCTATTTCCCACCCCTAACATGTCCCAACTTTTCTATTTCCCACCCCTAACATGCCCCAACTTTTCTATTTCCCACCCCTAACATGTCCCAACTTTTCTATTTCCCACCCCAAACATGTTCCAACTTTTCTATTTCCCACCCCTAACATGTCCCAACTTTTCTATTTCCCACCCCAAACATGTTCCAACTTTTCTATTTCCCACCCCTAACATGCCCCAACTTTTCTATTTCCCACCCCTAACATGCCCCAACTTTTCTATTTCCCACCCCTAACATGCCCTCCCACCCCTAACAGACCCCAAATTTTCTATTTCCCACCCTAACTAATTCTCTTTGATATTCTTGACAGGTCAATTATTTTAGAACAAAACATGATACAGCTAGACTACGTGAAACAAAACTTTTAATGAATCTGGTAAAGAACAAAACTTTTAAACAATTTAAAAAAAAAAATTACACGTTTAAACAATCAGTAACAAAAGCCAAACATAGTAATTATTTCAACCAGAAAAATGAACACTTCAGATTATAAGTCGGGTTTAATCTATCAATAGATTATGTTTGAGGTAAAGAGAAGAGGTGTACAGATCACAACTGATCCAATATATCAGTCATTGAAATCAACAGCAGCTCTGATTGGCTTATTTTTTTTATTTTTTTTTTTTAACGGACGCCATGTGACAAATTTTGCGACTGGTTAATTAAAAACTATTGATAGAGCTGTCTGTATAATTAATGGATCAATTCTTCTGTCGACAGCTGCTGTTGATGTTTAAAAACAACCGCCGGCTATACACGTGAAACGAAATGTCGCGTGCGTTTTATATTAAATCTTCTTGTAGATTGAGACAAAAGGCTCATTTTTTTTTGTTTTTATATTTGGTCCATTAAACATAAAGTAATCTGGCTGTTCTTTTATTGTGGTTTGATTTTTTTAATACTTGTTTGGGTTTACAAGTTTTTACGATTAGCATACTTAGGCCTATATGTTGATATAAACATACATGGATAGCATATATACACATGTCCGAAGACGTTGGAATTGACAGCGTACAATTGCCAGCCAATGCGCGAACTGGCCGGAATTTTCAGGCCAATGTCCGAAGGTTTCATTATAATTTATTCCCCGGCTCATGTTACCCACCCACCCCCTTATTTAAAATACCTTCGTAACGGGTGCCGAAGAGAGAGGGAGGTGTGTGTGTGTGTATTTTTGTATGTTTATGTGTGTTTTTGTGTGGGTGTCTTAATGTGTGTGTCTTAGTGTGTGTGTTCGTGTGTGTGTTTGTTAGGCGGCAACAGACCAAGAGGCAGAGAGACCATAAGGCTGTTTAAGAAAATGAAAAATACTGACAAAATTTTAAAATTGCATAGCAGATTTTCTTGCACTACGGATCACTTGACATTTTTAAACTGCATTTGCTTGATTGTGAAGTCAGGTCTGCCAAAATTATTACAAAACAAACAGTTTTTTTTTTGTTTTGCCATAGTACCATACTGTCTTACATTTTTTTATTTTAAATTTAACATTTACTTCTCGTGCTAGGATTTTGGGATTCATTGATGTTTAGGAGATTTAAAATAAAGACTAGAAATCATGGACATATTTTTAAAAAATAATTGAAAAAATGTGTACCATTACTTCGAAAGTTTCTGTTATTTAATATTATTAATATTCATTATGGAATCTAATTTGATGATCACTAATAGTATAAAAAACAATGCATAAAAAAGTTTTAATAACAAGCTTTCACCAAAATTTGCTAATAATGTTCTAATTTGGACTTTGACCAGTCACCCCTAATCATTTTGCGAATTGGCCGGCCAGTGTCCGATATATATATATATATATATATATATATATATATATATATATATATATATATATATATATATATATATATATATATATATATATATATATATATACTTAACGATAAACATTTACACGTAACAAAATTCCCGAGCTAAATGACGTCATCTATATTTAAGAACGATCCTCCTTTACCAGAAATTTCGATACATTTTTCTCGCCCTTCAGTGTGTCAAAGCTTCGGATTTCTCTCCCCGCCTCACCCCGGCTTTCACGTTGGGTTCTAATGGTAGTGTTATGCCTGGCTACATATCCCTGATCCCGGAAGACAAAAGGTGTATGTCTATCCCAGATTAACCGACATATCGAGTGTGGATGTGTGTGGGTGTGTGGGTGTGGGTGTGGGTGTGTTTGTGTGTGTGTTTGTGACTGTCTGTGTGTGTGTGGATTGGGGTGTGCATGTGAAGAGTCGATTCAGGATTACGTAGCAGAAAAAGTGTGTTGGGTGGGGGGGGGGGTTGATAATTCTTTTGGTTTCATTTGATATTTAGTTATAAGATATTTAAGCCATGTACACATTATCTTAAAGCAACCTACACAAATCTAAATATAACAATATTTGGTGTAACTACTTTGAGGTTATTTTATTATAGGTAAGGCTAGAATTAGGATTAAGGTTATAATAAGGGATCACACATACGACATCAGCAGGAAGATTCTTTTAGAAACGATACGACGAGCACACAGGTCACAAAAATGACACATCTAGTTTATCAAATAACAAAAATGACATCTAGTTTGTCAAATGACAATAATTACATCTAGTTTGTCAAATGATAAAAAGACACCTCTAGTTTGTCAAATGACCATTTTAACAATCTAGTTAGTGAAAATATAAAAAAGACCATTTTTATTGTTATCGGATGAAACCTCCCCCCCTCCCCCCCCCCCCCCCCCCCAAAGTTTGCTACGTCACAATTAATAACTAGTCCGATGAAATTACCTGTCAAAAAATGCCCCGTTTCGCTATTAAAAGATATTTGGTCACATCTCGCTAGTTATACATGAAGGTCCCCTGTAGTTTATCAACAAACTCGTGTCCCATTTAGAGGGTATGGCGACATACAACGGTCGTTGCTATTGTAAAAGAAAAAAAAAAGAGAAAAACAGCACTAACATTGCCCCCCATCTGGCTAGTAACCTTAATTCATGATTGATTGAGTAATTGAAGTGTAAAAAAAAAAAACCATACCGTGAAATCAATCTATACACGGAGACTTTTCAAGTTTTACGAGCATGGCCGAGGACATGTGTTGGAGAACGTGTTTACCAGACGTATCACACACACGCACACAAACACACACACACATACAGTATGGTGGGGCATCTAGAAATAGCGTCATGATTTGAGTGCGAGTTGACTTTAGGGACGATGTATACTACGGGGTAGGGGAGGAGGGGGAACTTAAGAAAGTGGGACAACACACGTGGTATTGTTGAAAAAGTAATTGTCATAAATTGATTTTTTTATTTTTTAATAGTTTTTTTCTCTGTGTTAATCTTAATAAAAATTGATTAATGCACTTATTTTTTTAACAAGCTAAATCAATATTGTAGAAAGAGAAAGCTGTTTTTAAAATGGAAAAATTGCATTTTGATAAAGTCGGGGTGTTAGACTGAAATGTCTATTTGACCCCTGGGGGTGGGGGGGGGGGGGTCTGACATTTTATAACGGTATGGTGTGACAGTGAAAGGTGTGGGGGGGGGGGGGGGGGAAGGTAAGGGGGGAATAAAAATCGGCAAAAACGAAACATCGAAGCTACGTCATTTAGGGTCGAGTCCTCGACTTCGTGTAGCAGTCGATTTTACGACACATTACACACATGCTGTGAAACACGGGAGTACCACGTGACTCCCGGCTGCGATACACGTGCGATTACAGTCATTTAGGGTAACAGATCTGGGCCACGCCCACTGGGACTTTAGTAGCAGACGTTAGGGTTAATTTTAGACTGATGTAGGTCAAGACACGGGGACATTGATTTCTGGGCCATTTTTTTTTTTTGTAATGCCAGTAACGACCAGAGTTTTGGTGTAAAAGGTTAAAGAAACAATAAAATATACTTTATGTGTTATAGAAACATCGCACTACCGTAAATACCTAGTATGCTAAATGTTATTGGTGAAAGTATAACAATACTATTTATCCCATAGAAGTCATGATGTTAGTAGTTAGTATAGTAGTAAAAGGACTGTGGATACATTTAGAATAGGGGGTAGGACTTGAGTTTATTTATATACATTTACTAAGCAAAGATACGCAAAGGTAGTGAACGAGATTTCTTATTAAAAAATAAAATGTTAGGAAATCACAAGTTATGTTAGTGTATATTTGGGTTTTTTCTGGGGTTAGTAGTAAAATTTAGTTTTAGTCAACTGTTTAGTGACATTTATGTACATGTGACATAGTTTTGACTAACAACGATAGAGATTTAATACGTTTACGAGCAACACTGAAGAAGGAATATTAAAAAAAAATGTTTTATTTACTCACCATCTTCACTCTCTTGTTTTGACAGGGTCGGCACCAGACTCTGGGCTCGTTTTCTGGCGATGACGTCGTGCGGCACCCAGAACTTCTCACTGGCATCGCTGCCCGGGGCCACGGGCGAACTGGGGCTCGAACCCATCCTCTTACTCCCCAACAGCCATTCAGCTCTGACGCTCGCGGCTCTGGGCAGGCCGCCGCTACCGCCTGCGCCAGCTGGGCTCCCGGCCCGGCCCGTGCCCCCGACGCTCGCCATGCACTTGGCCGCGAGCCGCTGCAACCAGCCGCTGTTCTCGGTCGGGCTGGAGGAGTACTCACCCGCAAGGTCGCACGTGGTCGGGGGGTCGGTCGTCTGAGTGCCGGTGTTCGACGTTTTCCCGATGGTCCGAGGCGTGGCTTGCACCCCGACGGTTTTGGTCGGGAGGTCGAGAGAGCAGTTGCCCGAGTCTGTGAGGTGGTCTTTTTCGGTCGATGACAGGGACGTGGCCTGCGTGGGGAGGTCGGATGAGAAGTCGCCGAGGTCTCGGTTATCCCCGCGGTATTTCTTAGACTTGGGCGATACACTCCGCGTCGCTTTCAAGCACAGGGATAAGGAAATTTCCGAATTTTTAGGATCCGGGCTGTAGTCGAAACCTTTTTCGTTTTTCCGCGATTTCGGTGATGGCGATTTCGCTCTTTTTTTCTCCGGAGACGACGAACTCGTCGAGGAGTCGAGGTTCACTGACGACTGTTTGAGAATACTTTTATAGTTATCCGAAGTTTTTGATTTGGGTAGGCCGTTTTTAGCTTGCTTGTTGAGAACCGCTGCGATATGCGCGGGCGGGGGTATGGGGGAGGAGGCGGAGAGGTTGTCGCAGGAGTCGGAGAACCCCGCAAACGACGAGTGACGACGGGTTCCGAGCTTGAGGACAGATCTCAGAGCCGGAGACACTTTCTCCCCGACCGTGTTGTCGTCCCAGGAAATGATGGGCTGGAACTGAACGGTGGCTGTTTTCTTACCCGTTTTAGCCGGGGAGCCGCTGACCGAGGAATTGGCCGAGCCGGAAGTTTGCGTGGTCGCGGCTCGTTGCAGTAGAGCGTCCGTCGTGTCGAGACCGACGTAGCAGGCGGCGCTGCTCACGGCCGTGGCGACTAACTGGCGACTGGCGACCTGGGCTATGGGCGCCACGAACTCGCTGCCGCCCACGGCACCGCTGCAGTTGCCGACAACACCACCACCAGCAGCACCACCTGCGTCAAGCGCCGAGGCTGCCGGCAAGTCGTTTCCGACACTTTCCGCTAATCCACAGTGTAAAATTCGATCCGGCGTCTGACAGCCTACCTCTCCCGAAAGCACCGACGAAGCGTTCTGCGCCGAGACGTTGGGCGAGGGCAGGTTTACCGGCGGTGCGCTGTCTTTATCGCTATTTTTAGCTCTGCCTTTCACCTCCCAGGCGCCGCTACAGCCAATGACAGGGCTGTTATCGCCAGCGGTGGTGGCCGGAGAGTTAATTTTATTTTTTCCCTCCGCGCTGACCGGGTCTTTATCCTTGTTGATGGTAAAAGGGAATTTCTTCCTCCTTTTATCGAAGAGTGCCTGGTCGTCCAAGCTACAATGTAGCCCAGAAGCGGAATCCCGCCGCTCGATAACACTTTCACTTGTCTCCTCCTCGTCCTCCCCGTCCCCCCACAAATTATGAATTTGCTTGACGAGAGCGGCGACGCTGCTCGCGTCCGAAGACTTCCGGCCCTGAAAACGAAGTTTGCCGAGTTTCGATTTGGCCGACACGAGCGTCCGTTCGTCGGTTAATGACCCGCGTCGTCCGTCGCTGAAAAGTCGTCTCGGGACCGGGGTCAGACCGGTGTCGGAAAACTTCCGACGTCCGCGGTAATTTGCCGGGGGACCGTCGGAGGCGATTGTTTTTCTGGTGGGCGAATCCAAGCCGCCGGCGTGCTGGGGGCTGGTGAGGTGTTTGGGCGACGTTTTTTGAGGCGAGGATTTATCAGCCTGCTGGAGGTGAGGCGGCGGCGATGAAGGCGACGACGACGACAACACCCTCCCGGCTTTGGCGTGTTGTTTCGACGGTGAATCCGCCGAGGATGAGGATGAAGAATTGGATGAGTTCACAACCGATTTGAATAAAGATCGCCGCACCGGCGACGGCGATTTCCGAACTTTCTGCGGTAAAGGCGACTTCCTGCCTGAAGCCTGCTCCAGGAATAGATGGTTGCACGTGCCGTAGGATCCTCGCCGGCCTCGGTCCGGCTCGTTGCTGGGCACGGTCAACGCCCCCTTCTCGTCGCTGCTTGTAGACGAGGACCGCTCCGAGCACCTGGAGGTGATGACCGTCTCTCTGCCAGCGGCGCCCTTCTTCTTGTTGTCAGTCATCGACCTCACCGGTGCGCCGCCGGCATCACAGACGGCGCCCCCGGCCACCCCGTCACCGGACACACCACCAGCAGCGGCGCCCGTCCGCGATTTGCCGTGGGGGTCCCTCTCCCCGCTGTCCGAGTGTATCTTCTGCTCGATTTCCGACACCGGCGATTTCCGAAGGATCTGCGTGACGCCCCGCGTGAAGACAGAGAACCCTCCGTTTCCTGCAGCGCTCACGGCCTCATTACCCGGGCCCGATCCATCTAGGGCCTCGTTACACCTCTTCACCGTCTCGGCTGTATCTTTCACACAGGCCCTGCTCGCTGATTGGCTCCCACTCTCTCGAGCCTCCCCGCCATCATTAGCTTCTGTTCCGGGATTTTTTTTATTGATCTCCCCGGATTTTTTCGGAGTCAGAAACTGATGTTGGTGAAGGTACTGGTACGTCTGCGGCACGATAAACGGCTGCGCATCTTTCCCGCCGACCAACACTTTACCTGCACCGCTGTTGGGGCCACCGGGACTTCTCTGGCGGTCCCCTACGCAGACGACAGCGAGGGAGGTATCGATGGTGTGTGCAACTTTTCGATCGCCCTGCGAGTGGGGGAGACTCGCCGCGCAGGCTGGGGCGGGCGCGGCGCTATCGTTGGTCCCGACCGTCCCCGCGTTGTTGTGGGCAGTGGAGTCGGCGCTGGCCGTGGAGTTTGTTTGAAGGGCGCGGCCGTGTTGGTTAGCCGTACCCGCGGTCTGTTGCTGCCCGCCCCACCAGGTGCCTAAGTGACGTTTCGGTACCGTGCCGGAGGCTAGAGGATCGGACTTGGTGGCCGAGCAGATAGCGTGCTGGGCGGCGAACCCGGCGATGGGAGACGGAGACTGCGGTTTGAGATAGGTCGGCGAAGGGGAGGGAATAGACGATGTGGAGTGGGATAACTTCCCTGTCGTGCAGACTCCGACTTTTAAATGTTGCGGATAAAAATGTTGTCGGTTGGGAGTAGTCGGCGTCGGAGGCGGGGTTTTGATCGACGACGCCGCCGACGACACGACGGTCGGGGAAAGTTTATTCTGGAACTGTCTAAAAAATTTCCCGATTTTTTCGATCCCGGCGGACCGAGGCGCCGGCGAGAGGTAGCCGGGACTTTTTTCTATCCCCGAGTCCTGGGAGGCCGTGGAGGATGTGGGGCAGACCGCCCGGTGGTCGCCGTCGTTGGACACGACCTTTAGAGAACTGGCCTCACCCGAGCTGCTGATTAGCGGGGAGGTCGGCCCGTCCCCCGAGGCTGACCCCAGCCATCCGGAGAGAAAACTCCCTCCCCCTGATGTTTTACTAATGAGTGGGGAGCGGGGCGAAACCCCGCCGCTGTTTTTAGTTCCGGCGTCATCACAAGAAAGTTTACCACTAGCACCAGAGGAATAAGCACCGAAGCCAGACTTTAAAAAAGAACCGTCTGAAGCGTCTTTGTTGTCTTGTAGTTCGGGTGAGGTCGAGAAGGGTGTTCTGACTTCCCGCGATGACGGTGATAATGAAAGCGATGACGAGGCGAGAGGTGACACGGGCGTTAACGAAGGCGCTGGCGAGATGGATGATAACAATGACGTCGGCACTAGTAAGCTCGGACCGAGGCTGGCCTGACCTGGTTTTGACGTGACCTCGTTTCCTGGACCGCGCGTCGCCTGCGGCCGGGAGGAGTTTTTGGAGCCGGGGCGTTGAGGCGAGTTGGATGTTTTTGCCGCCTCTAAGTTCCGCGCGTTGACCGGAGGCGACGACGGCCCTTCTCTGACGCTGCCGATGTCCCCCCAAAAAGAGGGAGATGAAATCTGTTGATGATTTTTGTGACGTTGTCGGTTGAAGTGGCATATTAAATGGTGCGGGTCCTGGTAGAAATACTTGAACGCCTCGCTCGACGGAGACGCGGCCTTCTCTTCTTGGACAGGGGTCAGCGCCGGCGCTATTTGAGACAGCGTCGACTGCCGATGCTGCTGTAGTTGTAGCTGCTGTTGCCGTTTTTGTTCATCCTGCCAGTGTTTCAAGGCTAGGACGAGCTCGTCTTCGCTATCGCTGTCGTCGTCGTCGTTCTCATCGTCTTCGCTGCTGGTGACGTAATCCTGCATAGAGAGGTCCTCATAATGCTCCGCCAAGAGTTGTTCCTCCTGCCATTTTCTCAACGTCAGGACCAGATCGTCGTCGTCTGGTTCGTCGTTGACGAAATCGTCCTCGCTTTCCTCGAGGACTTTCTTCTCTTCAAAACTACTGCTGTCCTCTTCTGAGTCCTTCACGTACCCTCGCCATAGCCCCGTGTCGATGATGATATTGCTTCTCGTCAACCGCAGCGGCTGTCGTGGCTGCGGTTGCAGCTGCTGTTTCTGGCTTTCCGGCTGCGGCGGCTGTTTCGGGCTCTGCGGCAGGTAAATATTCCCGTGCTGTCGCCAACCGCCTGCCTGTTCGTAGTGCCGCGCCAGTCTGGTGCCACAATCCGCGTCCAGCCACTCCAAGACACGCATGGACCTGTCGAACCGGCTGTCCTGCCTTCTAGGTCTCTCGTCCGCCCGCTTGCTCTTCCCGCCTCTCGCTCTGGTCTCCTTCAACGGGGACTTGACTCGCGGTGTCTCCCCGCCATCTTTGTTCTCTCCCCTTGCCGCCTCACTGCCCTCCTGACGCCACCCCTCATTTAGCAGAGACTTCAACAGCTTACGGTCCGTGTCGTCCAGCATCTTCCCCCCTCCCCAGTCCTTCCCCGGCCTCACCGGCGTTTGGTCACTGACGTGCCGCCTCCTCTCCCCCTCCGGCTTCCTCCCTCCTCCCTCCTCTGCCAGCAGCATAGCATTGCCACCTCTCAAGATATCTGCCAGTCTGGAAAGCTTCGTGTATTCATCCGCGATAGACCCGGACTACTCCTTTCTCTCCTTTCCCATTAACGACGCTCGGATTCAATTTACTGTCAAGAAAAGGGAGGTAATGTTTTGGCAGACAACCCGAATTTTTGCAGGGGGCGCCACTGACGCTGTGTCCTTGAGGTGCCATGGCAAGATTGCCTCCCCCGGTCAGCATACGCACCTCTCACACCCAGCCAGCTGCTATCATCCAGAAAAAAATAGTTCTACGTGAGCACTTGATTTTAAAAAAAAAAAATACGACTTTACCTACGCCACTGTTTATAAACAAATACAAGCCGTATTGCGTACCGTAAAATAGTTACTTCAAATCACGTCACAGAAAAAAAAAACAACTTAAAAATAAAATGTTCTACTTTATAAAAAAAATACCAACACATGTAGAAATCTTTCGCTTCAAGAAAATCAACACTTGTTGAAAATTAAGACAATTAAATTTTCCATTAGCGCGTCAACACTTATATTTGACGCTTTATCACTGAAACACTAACAAGGCGATCTTAGTGTCAATACTACAACCTTGACATGATTCTATTAAATTACAGGCCAAAGTTCATTGCGTTAAAAACAAGAAGGAAAAAAAAACAGAAATTTTAAAATCTGGAAAAAAATAATTAAGATTTGTATTGGGGGCAGGGGCGGCAACTCATCCAGTGAAAGCGAGTCTAAATTAACTTCGTCTTTTCGCCCGCGTCAAAATAGCGATCGTCGCGTTGTGTGCTCAGTCTGTTACCACCATAACGAGACTAATTGAAACACACGCCTAAGCGAGGCAGGGGACATAACTCCGATTCGATCGGTTCCTCAGCGTTATTTCCCTTAGAAGGCACAGATTTTTATTTTTTCATTCACAGTAAAAGGAGCTTTAAAATTCCAATTGAAATATGTTATTTTGAATCCGATTTTTAAAAATTTGATTTGAAATAGAGCTGCGTGTTTCCGTGTAGCGTGAAGCCAAGTGGTCGAGTTGATAGCATACACATCCTAGCTTTGAACTTTTTATTTTGTCGTTTTTTCTTTTTAAAATCTCACTTGACCATCGTGTACAAAAGTACACGTACACAGCGGGGTCGTCATTAAGATCCACGTTCCTCGTGTATAATTAATTAATATCCAAAAGCAGACAAACACTGGCGTCAATATGTTCCTTAGATAGACGCTACTTGTTTTAACTCTATGGTGGATTATGCTAAGTCTGAAAATTGATAAGAAAAAAAAAGTTAAACGCAGATAAGGTATTGTGGTATATATTTTAGGTAAAAACAAATAAACACATTACCAATAAAACAAATTTCTAAATAGAACAATTAGAAAACAATATAGTAAAAAAGCTTGTAAATGCACTGAAAATAAAAAATAAATAAAACTAATTTACTTTCTATGATATAAAGATGTGGTCGTTAAAATATGAAAAAGATCGTATGACTTTTGAGGTTTTTATATATTTGTATAAGCTTTTTATTTAACTTGCTTCATTGTCTATCTGTCTGTCGTATAGATAGAAACAGTCGAGCAAAATTTCAACCTCTTTTACCATACCAATGTCTCTGAAACTTGGCAAGTGGGTTGAGTCGAGACCCAATGACATTGCAATCTGACATCAAATTTGACTTAATTGGACTCTTAATTAATGTTTAAAGAATTAATTAAAATTTCCTATAAAAAGTACTATTTACCGCGCTATTATACGCAAATTTTCATGTTCATTTAGAGCGAAATAGTTTTTAGTCATTAAACTCTTATGTAAGCAAAAATTTAAAAGTACTGAAAAAAATTGCATACAAACGTTTTAATAACAAGCTTTTATGTAAAAATGCACCAAAAAGGAGAAAATAAATAATTCCCTTTAAATAAATAATACTACATTACTATTTAAATAACTATAAAGAAAAGCGTTGGTCAACTATGTTATAACTTTACTAAAATTTAAGAAGCGAACCACGCTTTTCTTTATAGATCCGTAATTCGGGTTGTCAGGGGCGTATCTAGGGACGCCTGGGTATAAGGACTTGTCTAGGGTCGTGTGGTTCTTAGAGCCATGTCTAGAGTCGTGTGGTTCTTAGGGCCGTGTCTAGGGTCTTCTGGGTATCATGGGTGTTTTGGGGTCGTGTAGTTGTCAGGGCTGTCCTAGGGACCTTTGGTTGTCAGGGCCGTGTCTGCTGTGGTATAGATGCTAGGAACTGTCTTTGGCGTGGTAGCCAAAACCTTGCCTATAGTCGTGCAGGTGTCAATTTTAATAATCTAGAGTGAAGTAAAAAAAAAAATACATTCGTAAACCAGCACAATGGAATGGCTTTAGCGGTAGAGAGCTAAACTGCTAACCCGAAAGTCTCGAGTTCGAATCCGAGTTTAAACAGGTTCGATGGGTAACTAACTTACGTAAAGGAGGCTGGGCATAGTTCTGATCTACGTAATCCGAGGTCACAAAAATAGGGGGACTTGCTCCAAAGCTCTATCATGTTAAAAAGTCAAATTAACTTACTTTAGGATGGAATAAAATTATGTGAAAAGCATTAAGATATCTTTTATATTAACCTCTATTTAGCACAACTCTTCATCACTTTCTCTTTAAAATATGACAATGCTATGTTCGTTTCAAAATGAAAGCAAAGAAAAATGTCAACTAGTCTTATCTTTGCTATCTAAACCAGGTACATATGTTATTTATCTAATTAAAATCGACAATCATGTGACCCAATTAAGGAGTCGTCTGCCGAATCCCACCATCGTCCAATTGTACCGTCTGTAAACCAGAGTTTTATCTAAACAGAAGTAGAGGAAATGGTTTAGTAAATAGATTGGTAATAAATTTGTTATAAACGTGATAAGTTTAGAACTGAACAGGTCATATGAACTAAACTTTTTTTTAAAACTTTGATTTGTTTAATGACTGGCACCCTTTTTAAAAATTAATTGTGTTTACTTGTGGAAACTTGTGTTTACTTCATGTGTTTGCTTGAGAGAGTGAGATCTTGTGTTTACTTTTTGTAGGACCTCATGTTTACTTGATGTAAGGGGGCGTCCATAAATGACGTCACACTCGTAGGGGGGAGGGGGGGGGGTTCAGTAATTTTGTGACGGTGTGTGATGATGGGGAGGGTGGGGGGGGGGGGGTTCAGATGGTGTGACGTCACACTTTTCAATTTAAAAAAAACTATGTTAGAAAATGAGTTTTAGCCGTTATTTCGCTTTTTAGAAAACTGTTTTAATAAATTGCAATAGGAATTGATTAAAATACTCTATGTTGACAGAGTTCAGACAAGATTTTGGAAAAATATCGATGTTTTAAGAAAAATTCAAAAGCAATTTTGAGGCGGGTTGTCGGCTGAGGTGTGAAGTCATTTTAGGGAAGGGGGTCTGGCTTTTTGTGACGACGTGTGACGGAGGGGAGGAAGGGAGGTAAAAATCGTCAAAAAAAAGCGTGACGTCATTTATGGATGACCCCTAAGACCTTCTGTTTGATGTCAGACCCTGTGTTTACTTGACATGATAGTGAGACCTTATGTTTACTTGATGTAAGACCTTATGTTTACTTGATGTAAGACCTTGTGTTTGCTTGATGTAAGACCTTGTGTTTGCTTGACGTGATAGTGAGACCTTGTGTTTACTTGATGTAAGACCTTGTGTTTACTTGATGTAAGACCTTGTGTTTACTTTATGTGAGGCCTGTACTTTCTTAATGTAGGACCTCATGTTTATTTATAGAACCACAGTATAAACTCCAACCCATTGTTATATAACTTTTAGGACCTTTCTTGATCATATAGGCCTATAAAACTGTGTTTACCAACTAAACGTCTCGCTCAGCTTCAAAACATATTTCACGCAAACACAAAATTCTCAGTCCTTTGTTGCTAGGGCCTGCCCTCCATAAACATGACATTAGATGACATTATATGTCAGGTCCGGTCGGGGAGAATTTGTCCGCAGGCGAGTCTTGACATTTGGTTAATGGTTATTTTTGCGCGTCTGATTGTTTGGCGCCTCGGTCCTTCAGCCTGTGGAGAGCTGGGGCCAATGACGTCAGCGATTCGTGTCACGTGACCTAGTCTATTTTTAGAGTGATTTTTCTTTCCTTTTACGACACGAAAAAAACACTCTTAGTGAGACAGAACCCATAAAACTAGCAAACACGTTTCAGTAGTGTTCTAAAAATATTTTTTTATCTGTTTCTTTTGCGAACTTAAAAAAATACTTCTATGATTTGGAGATTGGAATGATCACTATAAAAAAAATGTGTTAAATGTTAATTTACCTTAGTTTTACGTGGTCGAATGGTAGAATATATCACTGCTAACCCGTAAGTCTCCAGTTTAAGTTTGTAAACGTCCCAGAGTCCATCCAGCTCTGGTGGGCACCTGAGTTACTAAAAGGAAAGTATAAGGGCGGTTAGGCATAGTGTTGGCCACACTGTACCTTTTTTTTATATGCCCAGGTAATATAAACATGTGAACTCTACTTCACTTGCCCCATAGACTGTCAGGTTTCAAAGATAATTTTACCTTAGTTTTGAGCCAGGATCGTAGGCTAATTGTGTTTTGTGCTTGTTTCAACTATCGCTAGTTGGTCCTCTATTTGAAGGATAATATCCTTTATGGTGGTGTTTCAGAAAAGTTATTTACGGGGTAGGGGCTGATAGGACTTGTCAGGTGGGTGCTCGATTCCACATAATTGTGAAGAGTTGTTAACTCACAATAGCTAAACATATGAATATTTTAAAGGAAGCAGCTTCTTTCGTAAATAATAAATGAGGAAGACGTCTAGGAATCTACCTCTGGTCAATTACCTGCCCGGTCATTACTCCCTCCACCCCACACAAAATACCAACCTGTTCAGTATTACCCTCCCTGTCAATTTACCCCCCCCCCCCCCTACTCCCCATCATACATGTCTAAAATAAGCTGACGTAGTACAAATTATATCGCATT